GAGTAAACAGGAAGCAGAAGGAGCCAATCTAAGGAACAGGGGATGTAATGCAGAATGAGAACAAGGGTGTTCCCCAGATACCATCTCTGCAATAAACTAGATCACACCATCTGGACTGGAAGAGGAGCGGAGAAGGACTCAGGAAATGTCTCCATGGGGACACAAACTAGAATTTGTAGCTTACTTGCCATGTTTTACCATGTGGAAAAGTATTTAAAATAGTATCACAGGTTTTACAGTTCTTGGGAAGAGTTTGGGAAGGACTTGTGATAAGAACATTAAAAACAAAAACCCTAGCAAATAAAAATGAAGCAAGTGCCAACTCCACAGAAAATGGAAATGGTCACGGAAAACAAAATACACTCATAAAATAAGATTTTGCTCAGGAGAAAATAAAACTTTCATAGACATAAAAATGTAACATTGATTATTGATTTTATTTAAAAAGTGTCAGAGAAGTGTGTAGGAAGGAAGGAGCAAGTTGAGGGCTGCGGTGATCTCATGAGAGTTCCAAATGCTCATCTTTCACACGAAGAAGTCAACAGACAGTGTCTGAAACTGAAAAACCAAAGTGAGAGTAGGATTTAGAATCCTACAGGTAATTATCAGAAGAAATAGCTAAAAACAAGCAGGGGAGCTTCTGAGAAACCCAACTCAGGTATTGTGACAAGAAAGCACTGTTTTTTATTGGACATGTTAACTTTTTTAAAACTCCACGCACTTAAAAAAATTTTTTTCAACACCATGTTTTACTTTGAAAAAAAGTGAATGTAAAGTTTTAACTGCAATTGCCTGTTGTGAGCATGTCAGTGAGAGTGGAAGTGGGCAGATTGCTGTTTTTGGAGAAAAGGGAGGCTGTTTCCTGTTTTTCGAATCTGCTTAGGGGCAGAGCCCCAGTAGTTCCTAGGGAATGAGAGGAGCACAGCATGATTCTTAAGTTTCAGACCTTCTTCTTCTCAGCATTGTTTTCTTTAAAGAAAGCAAAAGGGTAAGAATTTCTGTATTTTAAAGTTTCTTTTAACTCTATTTTCTTTTTTGTGTACTTTTAAATAGAACTTTTTTTGTCAACATAGTCACCAGCACTTTAATGCCAGTCATATTTTGCTGCCCCAGACGGCTGACTACCAACATATGTAAGATGGATCCTGGCAATAAGAAATTGATAGGACTAAATGTCACTACAGACAGGACAATGTGGAATTGGATTTTAGTGTAGTCAGCCCTTAAGCTGTCCATGAAAGAATGCGCCCTCAGAAAAGGTCCCAGAATGACATCTGGAGGCCGAAATCTTATGCCAAGATCCATGATGCTCCAACAGTGAAGAGCTTGGTGCAATTTCTTGGTCAAGGGGTCAATCTTACAGGACCCAGTGTGACTTCTCAAGGAACTGCAGGGCTGGCCTAAAGTACTCACACCTTCAGGGCAGTGACTGATCAAATAAAAACAGGCCTCTGAAGCTGCCAAAGAACCTTGAAAACAAATTAATTCCTACTGGTGTGACATATGTTGGCTCAGATGTCTGTGACTGACATTATATTAGGCACCAGAAGTACACAGAGACAGTGACATAATTAGGATACTTTAGCACAAGTAAGTCAGGTGAAGAAAAGTTTCATCAACTTTTACTTGTGGATTTTTAAATAGATGGATTTTTAAAAAACCAGCTGTCATTTCATTGTTGTTCTTTATATATCTGGCCTTATTTCTTAGATCTTATTGTGTCCATTTTTTTTCTGAATAAATCCCTCTTTCTATTCTAATGAATTGATTTTTTTTCTTTCCATTTTTTTCCCCATGCTAATTTGGAAGATAATACATTTTATTTCTAGTTTTCAAGCAGTTGTCCTTGAAATTGTAACATACTTATATTTAAACTCTAACAGTAATCAATAACTTTACCAGCCCACTGAATAATATTAAGCCTTGGGTGGCTTCAACCTTATCACCCATTTCAATCCTAACATACTGCTGTCATCTAGCTTTTGAATTCTATTGTGTTTTATTTGTTTTAGTTTCAAACATTACCGATTTTTTGTTCATATCTGACTTGAACCCAAAGTTAAACTGGCCTCACAGAATGAATAGGGAGTATTGTCTTCTTTTCCTCCTGGTATCTGAGAGAGTTAGTAAAAACTGGAACAATCTTTTCCTGAAAACTTTGGTAGAGTTCATCTGTGAAATTTTCTGGTCCTGAGAAGATTTTTAACTATTTAATTTCTTTAATAGTCACGTATAGTAAGTTATATTTTTCTTGAAATTATTCCATTTCATCTAAATTTTCAAAATTCATTGGAAAAATATTTTTGATAGGATTTTCCTATCTTCCTTTTCTTTGTTTTATCTCCAGTCGTGTCCCTTCTTGATTTGTAATATTATTTATTTGTGTCTTCTCTCTTTTTCTTTAACATTCTCCCAGAGATCTATTTTCAATTTTCAGCAACCAACACTTGACTTTTTGATCTGCCCTATTGCATCCTTGATTTCTTTTTCATTGTGTCCAGCTTTTATCTTTACTGCTGTCATCTATTATTGAATTTTCTAACATTTAGAAATTGGAAATCGTATTAGTTTTCAACCTTCTGCATTTCTAATATGCATTTTGGGGCTGTAAATTTCCCTTCAAGTATCTCTTTGGTTGCACTCTCCAAGTTTCAACATATGGTTTTTTCACTATCATTCACTTTTTAGTATTTTTTTATTCAATTTTGATCCATGTGTTAGTTCTTTGAAATATCCAAATACATTGAGATTTTTACATTCACATTATTTAGTTAACCTCTTATTTAACCAAGTGTGGTCAGAGAACACGGTCTAATTGATTACTGTTTATTAAAATTTGTTGAGATTTGTTTTATGCCCTAGTATGTGATAAATTTATAATAGTCCATTTGTTAGAACATTTTTGGACTCTGTAACTGAATTTCAGATTGCCCATTGAATCAAGCTTACTCATTGAATTGTTCAAGTTTTCTATATTTTTGCTGTTATTCTTTATCTATAAATAGAAAGAAAGTTATGTTGAAATTTTCCATTCAGCAGCTGTATGTCAAATTACTCTTATACTTCTATTAATTTTTCCTTTGCATATTTGTAGTCTGTTGTATTAGATGTGTGTGTGCATACACACACATATGTATATATACATGACTTTTATAACTTCCTAGTGGATATATTTACCTACTTTCTAAATAATACACAGAGGATTATTGTCTTATTTCCAACCACTGCCAACCATCCTCCAGCTTACCTCCAATTTTTAATACAGTCTTTGAGCTCTATATTATTTATTGCAAACTCTACAAATCAGACATTATTGTTTTATACTCTCAATTTTGAATAGACTTAGTAATATATTTATGACTGTATTCATTTGCCATTTACCCCTATAGCTCTGGGTCTCCTTTTGAAGATTTCTTCCTTCCCTTTGAAAAACACCCTTGGGAAATTCCATAAGTGAAAATTTGTTGGTGGTAAATTGTCTCAGTTTTATTGTATAGAAATTATTTCCCTCCTGTTTGTGAAAGATAATTTTGCAAGGCATACAATTCTTGTTTTGCAGTTGCTTTCTGTCAGTACTTTGCAAATATTAATGTCCTCCTGTCATCAGGCTCCAGCATTGCTGTTGAGGACTCAGCTTGTAGTCTGATTATCATTCCTTCTCGGGTAAATTGCCTTTTTTTTTCTCTGGCTGCTCTTAAATACTTCTCCGTATTTTCTGTGTTCTGCAGTTTCACAAGGATGCATCTAGGCGTGGATTTCTTTTTATTTATCTAGGTAGAGATGTATTGGTCTTTTGGATTGGACATGTGTTCTTTGACAATCTTGGAAAATTCTCAGGCACTTTGACCTCCTTTTCATATTTTCTGCTGTTTCTTTAATGTACATTCCTTGTAATTCTCTCTCCAGCCATGTCTATTTGGCTATTGAGCCATTCCCTCAATGCTCTTCATGTAAATTTTTTTTGCGTTTCTAGAATTGTAGTTTGATTCTTTTCAAATCTGTCTGGTCATTTTATAGCCTTTCTTCCCTTAGTCTTTTTTAAAGCTCACTCTTTTTTCTTTAGACATATTAAACCTAGTTGCTTTATTCCCTCTGATAGTTCTTTGTGGGTGCAGCTTTATGTTTGTTACTCTGCCCTTAGTTTTATTGGATTGATTTTTTGCATGTGTGAGTTTTGAGTTTTTATTTTTTATTAAGGGTTCACAGTTGGTGGGAACTCTCTTTCTGGGAAGTGGGAGGCCTAGGGAGAGGGTGTGTTACTCTAAGAATCTGACTTTACTTCTCAGGTCCTCTAAGGCAATGTCTAACAAAGGTTCCTTTTATCCTGGGATTTTACAGATCACACACATAGTGCACATTCAAAGCTGAAACTCCTTGTCATGGCTGTGACCTTGAAATCTTGGGGGAAATTCTCTTTCATTCCTACTCAAAATTGAGACTGAAACTGCTTTGCTTGCCATCTGAGTCTTCTAAGCTTATTTCTTCTTGTTCACTGTTTTTCTTAGAAAGTAAACGGTCCCTAAAACTCTTTTTTGAGAAAACTCTAAGCATGAGGCTCTCTAAATGTTCTCAGAGAAAGCAATGGTTTCAGCAATTCATATTCTCCTTGGACTAGCTTTCTCATTTTGTCCCTGATCTCAGTGGTTTTTCCATTGACATGATTTTTTTTAAATAAAAAATCTCCTGGCATTTTTAAATGATCTGTTATTATATGAATTTTGGCATATCTAGTGTACTATTTTGCTGTAATAACAATAACTTGGGACAGTTATAAGAGTTCAGGGAAACTTGCAATGATCTCTGTGGACTGTAACTCCTACCTCCCCTTCATCATATCTGGAAACTTCAGAAAAGGCTCCCAAGTTGCCAACAGTAAGTATTTGAAGCATCTCTTTATGTGAGATTTCAGAAGTAATGGGAAATGGCTTGCTGTTCCCCTCCTCTGGAGGGTTTCTCTCCTTTGGTTCCCCTCTCATATTTCTATTTTCCTTCTCCTCCAGTTCCCACAACTCCAGCTGAAGTCCTTTTCTCCAAAAAGTGGCTTCTGTGCATGGCAGTTCCCAGCCACAGGTCATAGGTCACTCCAGGTATGCCAGAAGTTAGAAGAGGCTGGGCTGGAGCTCTTGATGGAGAAGCCTTGTCCTCATGAAACAGACGTATCAAAGTTTTCTTGTTTGTTTTATTTTACTCTGTTTTAAGATCATAGAACAGACCGAATTTTTAGACTTTCTTCTTATAAAACCAAACTGCCATAGAGGGGGAAAAAGACCTTAAAAGCCTGCAAGGGTCTTGAGATAAATGAATGACGATGTGGCAACTTAAAATGATGCTGTTTCTGCTTTGAGTCAGCATACTAACCATAGCCCTTATAAGTATGTTTATTGCCTAGCTGGGTAATGTTCTTAAAACGTTTCAGTGTATAGAACCACATTGCACCCCGAGGAATAGGATTAGCTGTGGAGAATTGTTTGTCATTTGCAGGAGGAGCTTTCCCAGAGTCACAACGCTGAAGCAGAGAGAACTTACTCTCGTAGGCTTCCTCATTTTAAGCAAGATAATGTGTTTCTGAGCAGTTAACAAAACAAGGACCTGGATAAGACATGACTACGTAGAAAAACAGGAGAAAAATAAGCCCAGAGTTTCTTAAAGTAAAGAATAAAAGTCTAAATTATTCAATAAGAGTTATGTCATTCATTTCTTGGATTTGTACAGCTTCACGGGAGCCTCACTGGAACATCCTGCTCTCTAGATCAGAATTTCTTAAACTATATCCAGAAAGACATAGTTACTGAAATATCCACCTGATAAATTATTTTCACTTCTAAGTGTAGTGGCCATGTATCTTAGACTTTTCTGGGACAATTCCAGTATAACTCTATTTTATTCTTTTCTATAAAGCAGTGGGTTTCCATGTTTGACCAAATGTAGTTTCATATTATTCAGTTTAGAGATTAGATAACATTCTATTACTGGACCACATGTTCTGATTTTTAACTGTATAAAATGAGGTCACCATGAAATCTCAAAAAATGTTACAGTGATATTCTGCTATATTTATAATACTCAAGAATCTGAGCTAATTTAGCTTAGATTCACAAAATCATTGGAACGTAAAAGCACTTGTAGGGTAATGTAATTTATCCTTCTCTTTTAGGTGAATAGTTTCGTCTGATTCATCCCAGGCTGAGAATTTATCCTGTTTCTAAAGACAGTCAGAAAAGCAGAACAATCCTCTTCCTCTTCACCCTCCCTCTCTGAATGCATAGCCATGTCCTGGATGAGAAAAAATGTAAAGTTCCATCCCACACCTGTGCCTAAGTCTGTTTGCCCCGTATCCATGCCATGATGGGGTCCAAATGCTGGTTTTTTTCCCTAAATCATTGTGAAAATCAGAAAAATGACTACATATCACTCTAGCAAATACTTCACAATGTAAAATACCTTGTTTGGGTCCCTACACTATACTTTCTTCCACCTCTTCCCATCCCCTCACTGCTATATAACCCATGGGCATTCTTGAACTCTTAATGCACATTATATAAAGCTCACCCATATCAATTTGGTCACTTAACACTTACTCCATCTCCTTCCTTAACTGAAATCTGTCTCTATTCTAAAGGACACTGCTTCCCCACCAGCCCTAGATGCTGGAGACCACTCACCTCCAGGGGCAGAGGTGGAGTTGGCATTACTGCTCTGCCTTTCTGTCACCATGCCCTTGTTGTAACACTCATGTCACCTTACTATTCTACCTTCTTGTCCATTCTCTGTATGTTTATGCCTGAGGTCCTGATAACTTGTCTCATTCATTAATGACATCTGGCTCATGTCTCCACTTGCCATCTCAAGTCTTGCCATATTGTTCATTGTTAATGTAGATGATGCTCAACACCTCAACTCCAAAGACTTCCACTTCTAATGCTTTTCAACCTTGATCACCAAGACTACACCTGGATCTTGTGGTTCTATAAACATGGCTCTGATGTCTTCAGCTCCAAGTTTCTACTCTCTGATCTAACTGGTTTTTCTAGGTGTTTCCTGAACTCAAGTCATCAATTATCTGAAGCACCCCTTACCCAATTCCTTTGCACCCCAGGCCTTTTGCAGACTGTCTGGGGCTACAGCCTTGGATTCCTGCTACATTAAACCTCAAATCCCAACCCCAGATAATAAGCCCATCTGGAACTGCAGCTTAAAGCCATTTCAAAGCCACAGTCCTCAGCCTCAGTTACACCCTCAGTCTCAGCACCACAAATTCCTGTCACATATCATAAGCCAGTCTCAAAACAGTATTTCAGACCAACCCTACTCTGCTCTTTACCTCTTTCAAGTGCTCCACTTTCCTTCCTTCCCTCCTTTTCAGTAGACAAATGGGTCTCTTGCTACCTGGGAGAAAATGACTTCATTTGTCATGACTTACATTCCATTCTCCTTGCCTTTATAAAATGTAGCTTCTCTCATACCCATCCTGCCCCACTGCCTCTGATATCACTCAGTGATCAACATCCTGTGGCCAACCTCTCTACCTGTGCCCTTGACCATATTCTTTTATTCCAACTTCAGGGCCCTGAGCCATCAACCAGCTTCAGTTTCTCTCTGTTACCTACAGGACAAAGGTCGTACTTGCTAATATAGCTCATGCCACCCTCATCTCTTTTTACCCTCATCCACTCCTCTGTGCTCTAGAACTGCTCTGACCAATATGGTATCCACTAGTCATATTTAAATTTGTGGCCTATTTAAATTTAAGTGAATTAAAATTTAATTTAATTTAAATTCAGCTACTCACTTACACCAGCCACTTTTCAAGTGCCCAATAACCACATGGGGCAAGTGGCTCCTGTACTGAGCAGCACAAACATCAAACATTTTCCGCATTGAAGAAAGTTCTCTTGGCCAGCACTGCTCACCTTTACTGAAAATCTTGCACATCCTCAAAAGGGTCAAGGTTTTTCATGTCTCCACCTTTGCACAGAGAGATACAACAACCATTTCCATGTCACACCATTCACACCAGCATCTACACTCATCAGTATGAGGACATCCACTTCCAGAAGCAACTGTTGGTGGTGCTGCAAGCAACCACTGAAGTTCTTCATGCCAGTATTTATGTGGTGATTAGTATGTCTTTAAGACAATATGGATTCTTCTCTTCAGGCATAGTAAAGACAAGGAAGATATACTAATGGGAAGATGGGACATTATACTTCAAGAAGGGCTTTTAGATTCCATCCTGCCAGTCTTTCCAAATCTCCATTAATCAAAACTTGAACTGCCATTGTAGATAGAGTAATTATCGTACAGCTTCTCCTTAGAAAGTCCTTTTTAATGTTGTTAAAAGAAAACCTACCACAAACTAGTTAATTATCTTTGCTGAGGTTCTATTTTTCGTGCATCCAAATGATCAATCATCATGCAACAGAGAGAACACCTAGAAATTCAATCACAACACTTAGGAAAAGTTCACAAGAGTTGCAGTGAGAAATAGTAAAAAAGTGAGTATTTCTCAACACTATGTATCCCCCAAATCAGGCCTTTGCTGTATGAATGATTTTATTGAAAGTAAATTAAAGTCACTGATGAAAACCAGAAATAGCACCATTTAGATAATAAGCATAGAACAAATTCTAAAACCAGATACCAAGTTTGTGGTAATTACTTGTCATTTTGAATATACTTCATAAATATCAGGACAGGCATGAGAGATGAGCGACCAGCCCTGCCATTCACAAGGCTGAGCAATTAGCTTCAGCCCTTGGGCCTTAGCCTCGTAAATGAAGTGACAGAATCAGAGCAGATTCTAAGTTCTCTTTTCACTCTAAAAGCAGTGGTATTGCTGGGGTGTGGGTGAAGAGTAGAGCATTATTTAATGTAATCAATATTTTCTCAATGTTACATAAAGAGCAATGTAAATCCAGCTTCAGGTTCCTGTCCCTACAGGGTTGCCACCAAGTAATTCTTTGTGCATAGAAATTCTGGAGTCTCCGACGTCTAAAATGAGAGTGTACAATGCATCTATAAGAGCAATCTGTGGGGCTGGGACATGAAGAGGTGTAGGAGGAGTAGACTACAAGAGCATTCACAGGCGAGTGTAAGCTTATAAGATCAGTGAATACTTCTTTCTGTCTTTAAAGAAGATATATTGGTTTTGTCAACACAGTACTTCTCTCTCTTCATCTTGGCTTATTGTTTGTACACAGGCCTGTTTCTAGCATGAAATACTCTTTTAAAAATATTACAAATATACAAACATTATTTGTAAATAAAATTTCAAAAATATTTAGTTGTTTCGATGTCTTTGCTAAGATGATAAGCTCCATTGGGAGGAGCTTGTATATACTCACAAGCTTCCATCTTGGGTGTTTGAGGTGGGAAGGTTAGACATGAAATGCTGTATCATTTTATTATTTTTCAGTTTGATAGTGATAAATGAATAGAGAAAAGGACATGCACCAAGGTGGAAAAAGAAGTGTATTTTTCTTCTGCAATATGAAATGTTAAATTATTCTTAATGTGTGACTTAGTCAACTTGGAACCAGTGCACTTCAAAGTAAAATGAAAAGAAATGAAAATTGATGGTACAATGGTTCCGTGACTACAAAATTTAAAGCTGATACAAATAGCATATAAAAATCTCTCTAATCTAAGCAATTGCAATTCTGAGGTATACGTGTGTGTGTGTTCAGGCAAATGCCATCGTGCAGATTATTTTTATTTTCTTGAGGACAAAAACAAAGGTTGTTTTTAATGTACCTTATAGATTCATATATTCTTTAGAAGGCACTTTATGCCTCGCATTTGTTTAACAATCATACACAAACTGCATTTACCAACACTGCACACTCCAATTCTGTCCTCTTCAAACAAATATAAACAAAAATGCTTTGGAAGGTTTCCAAATGACCCCCAGGAGCAGGTTTAGCTTTCCAAGCTAATTGGAGAATCCATAAGTTTAAGTGATCTCTGTATTTTGCTGACTTTTGTGAAGAGTCCAAGACCCAAGGAAGAAAAGGTAAACTTTCTACTTCTTAAAATTATCCCCATATGTGCATAGATACAAAAAAGCAGAATGTGTAAACTGCTAAATACCCATTCAAGCTGCATTGATTAAATAAATTATGAAGCAGACCAGCCGTGGAATACGACACCACCTTTCAAAGGAACAAGACAAAAAAGGTGATCTGCCAAGGATAGATGAATAAATACATTATTAAATTTTTTTAAATGTAGGGCTACATACCAATATTCAATATTCCTTTCAGTGAAAATACTAATAAATTATTATGGTACAGTATATGTACATGAATATTTGCATACACATGTATATAAAATACAAACCTGTGCCAATGGTTAGCACTGGAAGAGGAGAGTGAGAAAAGGAGAATCTCATTTCCCACATATTTTTGTATGATGCCATTTTTTAAGTAACCATATACTATTTTTATGATCAGAATAAATATTAGAGGCTTTTGAAGAAACTTCACTGAAGACTTTGAGGCAGACTCGGCAGCCTGAGCCTCTAAGTCTCATTGTCTCCCCCTCCTGCTCTTGCACTGAGCCAAGGCTATGGTATAGAAGGATAAAGTCCATGGCTCTGCCGCAACCCAAGGCCTGATGCAGCATCTACACAAGGACTGAGGGGTCCTCAGTGAGATGCTGGCCGGGGAAGGCAGGGAGGGGCATGGGGAGGCACGGATGATGCCCCAGCGGCCATCCACCCATGCCTATTGTCCTGGAGTCTGACAGTCAAGTCTTTAAGGGTCCCTGGCCTTCCCTTCCCACAAGCTCATGAACATGGGATGGGACAGACCCAGGAAAGGGAAAGCTGAACCTTGACTGTGAGTCTCAGGTTTCAACTCACAGGTGGAAACTTGCAAATCAAAATTTAAGACGTTTTTATTTATCAAACTAAATAGGGTGATATACATAGAACGGGAAAAACTGTAGAGGTTCTTACTTGTTAAAGAGACAGCTTCTTTCAAAGTTGAATTTGGAATCCCAGGGATAGTACGTGAGCAAAAGAAGTTCCTTGCCTGTATACTTTTTTGTCCCTAAGACAATGATAACAACAATAAAAGCAGGTCATTCATACCTTTCCTCACACTACTGATGGATCTGAAAGGAAGAGCTGGGACAGCTAGGGAGTTTGGAGAAGGAAAAGGATTAAGGAGCACAGGGAAGTACTATTTACTAGCCAGTACAGAGTTGTTTGAATGTTTTTACGTCTGGTACGGCCATACCTCTGCGTATCAGCTGATTATCAGACCTGTGAGTGGGTGTTCTGCAAGTGGAGTTCATAAAATTTGCTCTTGACCTGCTTGACCCTAGTCTCTTATATATAAACCAGAAAATAATCTAATTCTGGATGTGGATTTGCTTTCTCTGTCCAAGTGTTTCTGCTACAATCACAGGGTGTGTTTCTTTTTGTCATAGTATTTCACACAATATTCCTTCTGACCAAAGAATTCATTTTATATAATTTTAAATGAGGCAATGGACTCATGTTTTACAGGATTCATGGATTTTACTCTGTATCCCAACACCTTATACAATGTTGGGATGGTCAATTTAAAACTCATTTATGCATCAGCTGAAAGATAAATTGCTGTAATATTAGGGACAGTCCATATGGGGCCGATTCTCCTGCCAACAAAATATGAGGGTCTGGAAATACAGAGGGACAAGTGTGAGTGGTTCCTCTCACTATTACATCCTCTTACTCACTTACAAAGCTTTTGCTTCTCATTACCATGATTTTGAACTCTGCTGGCTTAAATGTCTTATTTCCTTATGGATGGCTACATCCATCTATGACAGCAATGATTTCACCAAAAACTCCTAGTTCATCCTTTTTTCCTATTTGGAGATAATTAGATTCTCTTGCTGCTAGGATGTAAATTTGGTTCTGCCAATTTCATACATTTTCATGAGTTGTTTTGAAAGCAGAAATTGCACCGTCTTTCTGCAACACTTTGGACAGACAGGCAAGCTCTAAAGGTGAGGGAGTTTCTTGTAGACAAACTTCATACTCCACTGTCCAGACACCAGCTGTGAGGGTGCAGGTCGCTGCAATGACAGCAGCTGCTAGCAGCTCAGGTGGCAGTGGCCACTCCGTGGGTGCGGGTGGCAGTGACAATAGTGCCTTGGGGAACAATGGCAGCATCAGTCACCTAATACTCAGACCTCATCAGCAGCAGTCAAAATTGAAGTCAAAGTTCCAATAGAATACCCAGACTTCTGTACCTCCAGCACTTACAAATATTTTGACAACGTATTTATGCATTAAATCCTTTCATGTTTGGAAAACTGAGAGCATTTTCTATTTCCTGAATTAAAGCCCAGTTGATATACAGCTCTATATATCATTTGTACATGTTCCAAAAGATGCATGTAAAAGGGTGTCACTTCAGCATTGTTTGCAATAGCTTCAAAACAGTTATCTACATGTCCAATGATAGGGAATTGGGTGAATAAATCATGGTACATTTACACTATGGGATACAACACTTAAAAAGAATGAGGTAAATCTATACATACTGACATGAAGAAAGCTCTGAGACATGTCAGTCAGTTTTTTAAAAAGGAAGTTCCCTAGCAATTCTTGCCATATTAAACTCTTTATTCCAAATATTGCATGCACAATGAGTGATTTGGGTATTTATTGCCATGCATCACCACATGCTGGAAAAGACACATACCAAATTCATAATGGCAGTAACTTCTTTGCAAGCACTGGCATTGTCCTAGTGACAAAGGAAGACATAAGTTTTATGTACAATGACTGAACTTTTACCAGTTAAAATATATCCCTGAATTACTTGATTAAAAAGAAATTGAAAAAATTGAAATAACAATTATGGCAGTAAAGAGTAAAACAATTATAAACAATTTAATATACAGTATTTAAAAATAACCTAGAGCTATTTAAACAAAAACTTAAAACTTAAGAGAAGTTTGGAGAATGAGGGATATAAAACGTCCTAACTTTTCATCTTCTTTAGGAAGGAGAGGAAGACAAAGACAAATTCATTTCTTCTTAAGAATGACAGGGAAATTTAAGTTCAAATTAATGTAAAGATCACCAGTAATAGAAAATAATTGGACATGTAACTTTCAAATCATTAGAGAGAAGGATTCACATAGTAAAGAGATTATTTTATAGGAAAATATAAAATACCAAAATTTTTTTTCCTGGACTCAAGAGGCCAGGAAATTTGCAGAGCATAATAATCAGGAAAGAAATGGAAGAGGTTATAAACCTATAATGATGAGGAAAATAAAGAAAAGTCAATAGACCAACATAGTTTACAGATAAAGTCTCTCTATTCATTAAAGACTTGAATATATCCTATGTTATCTGTGCCATAGTAGAAGATAGAACAATTGCATGTTCCCCAGTTAATTTTGAGGTTTACAATCCCCTGGTTAAAAACAAACAAGAACACTGTAATAGAATGAACAAATAAAACCAATATTTTTTATAAATATAGGTGTAAAAATCCTATTTAGAATATATAACTATTTAGAAGTTATAATATATAATATTATAACATTAAATCCAACCTTACATTAATTCTGAAGTTGAATTATTTCTAAGAATTTATGAATGGGGCAACTTTAGAAAATCTGCTTATGTAATTCATTACTCAAATAAGTTAAGTGAGAAAAATCATATGAATATTGCCACAAAGATACTTGATACAACTTCAGTATCTAATCCTTGGGGAAAATAATTTTTGCAAACTAAGGAATAAAGAGATATTTTCTTACTGTGATAAAGAGGATCTATTAAAAACAAATAGTAAATGCTATAACTCACAGTAAAAGTTAGTTTCCTTCCCACTGAAGCCAGGACTAGGACAAGGATACTAGCTCCCAAGACTGTGCCACATTGCTCCGGAATTACCAGCAATTAGATATGATTTAAGGCACAGATTCATAAAGTAAAGAGGCAAAACTAAAACTGCTTGTAGATATATGATTTAGTCCTAAGAAAATACAAGGGAAACAACTAAAAATATAATAGAACTAGTAAAAGGTCAGAAGTCAGCTGACTGTCAAAGACACAAAATAAGCATACAAATCTCAATAGATTACTTACGTGCAAAAAACACACAAAAATAACAAATGGAAATGGAAAAAAGACCCCATTCACAACAGCAAAACTATTATAAAGTGCCTAGAAATGAAATATTCAAAGCCT